AAATTTTATTTAAAAAAAAAAAACAGCTGTAAACATAAGACCTATTATTCTAGTATCATTCTATAAAGATATTTAGTTAGATTTGAAAATGGTGATACTGTTTTTTTTTGTCTAGTTCTAATTTCAAAAGTTTGAATATGAGAATTTATTAACATGTGTGATTATCTTCTAATCTTCGATGAAGAATTGTTAGTCAATGGAAATATCTGTCTAATAATTTGATAGGAATAAAAAAACAAAACGAAAAATAAATATATAATACGATTGACCTAGTTATCTATATCAGTGTTATTACATATCATTTAAAGATTTTATTTGAAAAAGAAATTAAATTCTATATTCAATTTTATATTAGAATAATTTTAAAAAATATTTTTCAATTGGTATAAATATATAATCTCTCAATGAATCTCTTTATACCATTTTGATTGAAACAAACAAATAATATTATATTAACTTCCAGAACCGGAATTCAAAACTTACTAAAACTCGTCCCATTATATATTTTTTTCTGACTAATAATCAACAAATTGATCCTTTTCATTTATGATTGAGATAAACGTAGATTCTGAACGTGAATCATATTGAAAATATCTACTAAATATAGTACTCATAATTTTGTAGATTATAAATTTTAATGTCATTAAATATACGGTCGAATTAACATCTATTGCAACGTACTACATAGTTTAGATTTTCTATCTATGCAAGAACTATGAGTTCTGAAAGAATTTTTTAACTCAGACAGTCATAATCAAAGGAAATCTTGAGAGAGGCAATAAAAAACTGATGTTATTTTCTTTAGTTTTGGTGTATCTATATAAAGAATATTCGTAGTGCTTATTTTTTTTTACTTGAAACGAGTACTGAAGACGAAAAAAAGGATGAACCCACCGATTCTCAGTTCAACTGTAAATGTAATATATTTGATTTGTATTGAAATGAAAGCCCATCGAAAATGTGGCTTAGGAGTACAGCTGATAGTTCATAGAATGAAAACGATCTATAGAATCACAAGAAATTTCAAAATTTCAGGTATATCATTTGATGCCTCCACGGATGCATAACTATAAAAAGTAAAAGTGATTAAGTTTGTTTCACCTATCAGAGCTTATGAAACCAACTTTGCTGATCCTTTCGAGGAAAAAAATTTATTTGACAAAACAAAGTGTCATACTTATACCGAGAAGTTTTGGTATTCTTCTATACGGGATTTGAATAAAATGTCATAAATACTTTGATCTTATATTTTTTATAATTGCTTTTATAAAAGAAAATTACTTCATTCATTTCACGTTGATTTTCATCTAATTCGACATAAATTCAATGATATTGATTATTATTGAATAATATCCATAAGACAGTATCATTCAAAAATATTTTTCTTTTAAAACAAAAATTAAAAAAAAAGAATAGAACTATCTACTTGAGAAATACATAAAATATTGAGAATAAATTGTTGATATAAGAGAATTCTTTTAAATAAAAATTAAATTGAATAATTTATTTTATTTCTATTTTACCTGATCTGAATCAGTTGCTTGTTCAAATTCTAGAAAAAAAGATAAAAGAAATTAGCTTCATTTAATTTTTCGATGGTTTTCTACCTGGATTAACGAAATGAAATGTTCGAATCATAATAGATTCAACAACAAGACATTGTCGATTTCGACCTAGTTATAGCACGATTATCATATAATTCTATAACATTAAAACAAACTATTTGTTTAAATTATCAAATAATAAAATCATTCATATATGTCATTATTGCTTGTCAATCGAAATCACTTAAATGAATGAATTTATAATGAAAATTAAGTTCAGGTAAAATAATAATTACTAATGATGATGCTACGCACATGGTTTTCTTCTATCATTAGCTTTAATAACATTAGAAAAATAATAGATTTCAGTTTGTCGAAATCGTGGCATAAAATTATTCATATTATTCAATTGTGATTGAAATAGTTGTTTATTTTCTTTTAAATGATTTCCATATTGATCTATTTGATAGATATTGGTAAATGTCATTGATATGGAATTAAACCAAACTTGATCGTATTGATTAATGACTAGTTTATTTGGTTCAAATGTATTTTGTTCCTTACATATCACACGATGATGTTGTTTAGAATAAAAAACAATTAATAATTCGAATAAAAAATTTTGTTTTGTGTTTCTTACGTTAATACTATATTCAAGAGTGACTCTTAAAATAATAACATCACGTGTATCAGTTGTGAAAAATGAAGAATAAATGCTTTGCATATTTGAAAATTATGATGAAAAAATGGTTCAATTTTGACACATTTATGTATAGCTAAACTAATTTTTAAGATAAAGATAACTAAATATGTAGTTAAAAACCGATAATCCATCACAAAAGATTCAGATAGATTTGTAGTCATTTCATCTTTTCCCACAATATAATCATCAATAAAGTGTATCGCATCATTCGGCACAATGTTATTAAAACGTATTTTTTATTTCGAAAACTAGTTTCTAGTATATTGATGAATTGTAAGAAATCACAATTCATTTGATCCATAGATTTATCTTCTATTTAGAGATTTGCATTATAACTTACAATGGAACCTTTTGTATCGATGAAAAGCTTTCTTAACCATATCTCGACCAAATTATCAGTATCATTGAGAAACTAACAAATTTGAAATATTACATCCCCATAGCGAGCCTGAGCGGAGATAATCGATTTTTAAGATATACACAGTTTTGGTATGTGAATATAATAGTATGGGGACTGTACACATCTAATGTTTTACATAATCATCAAGTTTTCCAGAGAGTATATTTTTGAAACCTTGTTGAAATTTATCGATTACATTATGATCACACTAGATTTACATTGTTTTAGTGAATTTACTAGTGCCAAAGTGAGAGAAAAATATCTGTATTATGTTTCAAAAATGAAATGTGTCTGAGATATCTAAAGATTAAGTTCATTAATGCATGATTTTATAGATTATTTTCTTTCTCTAGATAACGTGCAATAACAACAGAGTGATTAAAGGTGACTATCTGTGAATTACTGAGCGAGTGACTAAGATTTCTTCCATCCCTAATAAATATTTCTATGATAGTTTGTCAAACAGTCCATCGTTGTGAATGAATGTGATATTTATTTTTTCAGAAAAAAAAACTCTTTTTAACAAAAAGTTATTTACGTTTTGAAAAATATTGATTTGTTAGAGAGGTAGGAAAAGGAAATGTTGAGAGGGGTAGAAAGAG